GAAGTAGGTGGTCATCTCCCCCTTGCCCTTGACCTTGACCAGCCCCCGGCACTCCAGTGTGTAGCCCTTGGCCGCCAGCACCTGGTACAGGTCCGTTGTCACCTGGGACACACACACACACACACACACGGGGGTGAGGGGGTGCTCTGGGGGGGCCCTGTCCCCCCCCCTCCTCGCCCCCCCAGCTGACCTGGATGCGGTCGGGGACGCCGGTGCTGTCCATGCGGCTGGAGACGTTGACAGTGTTGCCCCAGATGTCGTACTGCGGCTTGCGCGCCCCGATCACCCCCGCCACCACCGGCCCCATGTTCAGGCCTGGGGGGGGGACAGGGAGGGGGACAGCCACCCCTCGGGGTGCTAACGCCTAACAGTCCCGGGGCGGCGAGGGATGAGGCCGGCAGAGCGGGGTCGGGAACGCTGCCTCCGGTGCTCCCGGCCCAGCCTCCCTCCGGGGACGTTCTGGGTTTTTTTTTTTTCCTTTTCTTTCCGCCTTTGCTGTTTTCTTCTTCCGTGAACCTGCAGCGCCCCGAGGATGTAGAAAACCAGGGATTCCCCTTCTCGAGTCAAACCAACTTCCCGCCGCGGTCGGACACCGGGGGACCGGGACACCGGGGCAGCCCCCCGGTGTGCAAGGTCTGAGGGGTGTGCAAAGGGTTGTGCAAGGGCCAGTGTGTGCAAGGGCTGAGGGGTGTGCAAGGTCTGAGGGGTGTGCAAAGGGTTGTGCAAGGGCCAGTGTGTGCAAGGGCTGAGGGGCGTGCAAGGGCTGAGGGGCATGTAAAGGGGTGTGCAAGGGCTGAGGGACGTGTAAAGGGGTGTGTGAAAGCTGTGCGTGCAAAAGGGAAGGGGTGTGCAAGGGGGCTGCACATGCAAGGGAGCGTGTGATGGCAAAGGAGCGTGTAAAGGGGTGTATGAGGGCCAATGTGTGCAAGGGCTGAGGGGCGTGCGACATCAGCGTGAGCAAAGGGGGGGGGTGAGGGCTGTGTGTCCAAAAGGGAAGGGGTGTGCAAGGGTTTGCATGTGCAGAGGGGTGTGCAAGGGCTAAGGGGTGTGTAAGGGCTTGTGCACAAAGTGCTCTGCAAAGGCCACGCGTGCAAAAGGGCAGAAGCGTGTGAGGCTTTGCCTGTGCAGAGGGGTGCGCGGAGGCTGTGCGTGCAAAGCCGAGGGGGCGTGCGAAGGTCACGTGTGCAAGGCTACGCACCGGGGGCCGCGCGTGCGAGAGGGACAGGGTGTGCAAGCGCCAGCAGCTGGGAAGCCGCCCACACGG